AGGGGGGTGGGTGGGAATCATTCCGACGCTGATTGGGACTCGCCCCCCCCTCTTTTCTCCACGTCTAGCATTTTTTTTATTTTTAAAAAAAGAAGAAGCTGCATTTTCCTGCAGGAAAAAAACAAAGGATCATTTTATCCCGCCGGGGCCCCCCCCCCCGAAAAAGCCTTAGGAACAAGGGTAGTCTCCCCCTCCCCCCCCTCTTTTGCACGCCTTTCTGCAGCTTGCCTGGCTGGGGATGAAGGGAGCTGTAGTTCAGTCCTTCGGGGTGGGGGGGGCGCCAGGTTGGGGATAGGAAAAAACCTCTGGGACAAAGGCTGGGCCATTCTTCCTAGCTTTTGAAGAATAAGATTGGGGAAGTATTTTTTTTGGGGGGGGGGGGAGAAGTTGGCACCCAAGAAGCTGGGAGTTGCCAGGGTTGAGAAGCACACACACACACACACACACACAAACACACATACACAACACATTTTGATAGACAAATGCCAGCAAGATGGGTTTAATGAATAAAGCATCTGTGGCCGTGTTGCGTGCGTTCTTCCTGGAGTGCATCAAAGCAAAGGGAAGAGGGTGTGAGATTGACCCCCCCCATGCTTTTTAAAAAAATTAAAAAATCATCCTCTTTTCTCCCCCCCCCAACCATCTTAAAAGCCATTTGCTGTTGGCAGCCTCCCCAAAATTCCAGTTGCCTAACCCTTTTGCAGTTCTCAGGGGAGACGTAAAAGGCAGGGGATGATGGAAGGGGTGAGGGGTGCGTGGAAAAGTGATGTAACTCCCTTCCAGCTGCCCCCTCTTCCCCCCCCCACCCCGCCCAAGAGGGCCCGATCCACCTTGAAGCTGTCCGTCCCGGCTTAGTTTATTTTATTATTTATTATTGATCCGTTTCTAGAGCCATCCAACTCAGTTGTAAGTAACCCTATGTGGCTAACCATTCTAAAATTCTAAAGCTATTAAAAAAAACATAAAATAGTAAAAGCATCCTCAAAAAAAGAATTAAATAGAATTTAAAAAAAAGAAATAGCCGGAATTCCCTTGGATACACACTCTCTCTTTCTCTCTCTTTTTCTCTCTCTCTCCCCTCTTTTCTCTCTCTTTTTCTTTCTGTCTGTGTTTCTTGTCTCTCTCTTTTTCTTTCTCTTTTTCTGTCTCTCTGTCTTTCTTTCTCTCTCTTTCTCTCTGTCTTTCTTTCTTTCTCTCTCTCAGCTAGAGGTGAGACAACTTCCAGGAACAGTTCAATAACAGCATATCCCTAACCCTTTCATCCAACTTGGCTTATGGCTAGATACGTTCAGTGGCTGGTGGTCACAACAAAATGGAGCCTTCCCTATACAGGAGCAGTCTATCCTGGTGTCAGGAGGCCAACCAGAGAGCTGTAGGCTTCCTGGCTGTGCATTTTGGCTTTTGCGGGAAACACACTCTGGCTTTATTTTGTCTGGCTTCGACATCCTGTTTATATCCCTGAAAGTGGCCGTGTTAGCGGTCTGGCCTCAACGCCCCCAATGTGAACGGTGTGATGTGTGTCTGAAAACACAATTGCAGGGTGTCTGGCACGTCAACCCCAAGATGGTAGTTAAGTCACACACCCCTCCCTCCTGCTGTGATCCTGGAACGCGGAAAGGCCGAAGACATTGGCACCGTTTCAAGGGTTCAACTCTGGCGTGCTGGTTTTTTTCCCCGTCCTCTGGGTTAGAAACACAGGGGCAGCTGTGAAATGGAATGATGGTTACTGGTTTGGGGAGGGGTCTCAGATCTTTGTGGGAAGGGGCAGCTCTGTAACCCGTTCTTCTCTTCTCTTCCTTCCTCGCCTGTCTCTCCCTCGGCCCTCAGCAACGTCCTCTGAAGCAGTCTCTCAGCAGCTCGCTGTGCCGCGAGTCCCACTGGAAATGCTTAGTGCTCACCCTCCTGATGTTCGGCTGCTTCGGCGTCATGGCCTGGTGCCGCCTCTCGACAGTGACCCGCCTGAACTACGACAACTCCTACCGAGGAGCATCTCTGGTGTACCACGACAGCCCGTGCTCCAATGGATACATCTACATTCCGCTGGCCTTCTTGAGCATGTTGTACGTGGTGTATCTGGTGGAATGCTGGCACCGGTTCGCCAAGGGACAGAGTCAGTATCGGGTGGACACGGCGAGCGTCTACGACAAGGTGCAGCGCATGCAGCAGGCCACCCCTTGCATCTGGTGGAAAGCCGTCAGCTACCACTACATCCGCCGTACGAGGCAAGTCACGCGTTATCGCAACGGTGACGCTTATACGACCACCCAGGTTTACCACGAGCGGGTCAACACCCACGTCTCTGAGACGGAGTTTGACTACTCGGGCCACGGGGTGAAGGATGTCTCCAAGGAGCTACTGGGCCTCTCGGATTACCCCGTGACCAAACTCCGCTTTACGAAATGCTTCAGCTTCGCCACGGGCGAGGCGGAAGCCGCCTACCTGACGCAGAGGGCCCGGTTCTTCGGCGAGAACGAGGGCTTGGATGACTACATGGAGGCCCGCGAAGGGATGCACCTCAAAAACGTGGACTTTAAGGAGCACATGTTGGTCTTCCCGGATCCGGGGCGCCCACCTTGGTACACGCGCCGGAGTGTCTTCTGGCTGGCCTCTTTCCTCCTGCTGTCCTGGCCGCTGAGAGTGTTGTCTGAATACCGTACGGCGAACGTACATTATCACGTGGAGAAACTCTTTGGGGCAGACGACGGGCCCAGCCCGCTGGATGCCGCGGGGAGCTACGGGCGGCGCATCTCGCGTGTCAACACAGTGGACATGACCGAACTGGAATGGCACATCCGTTCTAACCAGCAGCTGGTACCCAGCTACTCCGAGGCCGTGTTGATGGACACCACGACGGTGGCGGGCG